CTGACTGACAACCTCGGGTTGTACAGACCCACCCGGAACTCCCTCTCCGGCTCCTGATCCTGACCCGGATCCACTCCCAGCGTGCCCTGAAATCTCCATACTGAAAATAAAACACCAAATCACAGGCATATTCCACTAACCCGGGAACCAGCTCTCATCCCGACCCTAGAGGTCATGGTTTCCCTGATACGCGTATGAGTCCGTGCTTTTAGTAGTACGGGCCCATACTACCTTCCACACCAACCCATATTTGCATGAAGTACTCCCACAACACCCTAGCGACACACATAACAGCGCTCTATCCTCACAACTAGAGGAACACTAGAAATCTCTCACAAGGAACCCTAGGCTACAGGCATCATAAATCAGGCAACTTATCAATAAATCCTGAAGATCCCTAGCCTAACTCTAGCATGCTGTTCTATCAAAGCTCAATAAAACAATTGTCATGTATGGTATTTTGGGGTTACTTACTGGCTCCGGCTGATCGTACCTCCGCGTCCTCCTTTACTTATTTTGAAAACCATTTTCAATTCTCTTTTTGAAAACTCTCTTCGATTTGAGACTAGAGTCACACAAGTGTTCCTCCAATTCACTCAAACCAAGGCTTTGATACCAACTTGTAACACCCGAAAAATACAACCAATTTAAAATTTTCAAAACAACCTGACTTTCATTAAAATGTTTACAAAAAGGTTTTCAATACAAGTCATTTGAGTATTCCCAGAATCACTTTGCTACAAAATCATGAGGAGCGGTACGATCGCGCCTTCGCCTTGCCACAGTCTCCTGAAGAACCTGAAAAACATTAAACCACAACTGTAAGCCCGAAAGCTTAGTGAGATACCCCCAAAATACCAACCACGCATACGCCCTTCCAGGCTACGACCTTCCGGTCCAAAACATATAAAACATACATAACATAACAGCACATAAAACAACCATGCATATCAGGTCTACCGTGTGACTGGTCCGCCGTATCGGGCCTTCAGTCCAACGGATCCATCCTCCAGGTCTAGTCATGTCCTCCGAGTCTACAGTGGGATTGGTCCGCCCGCATCGGGCCTTCAACCCACCTGGTCCACTCTCCGAGTCTACAGTGGGATTGGTCCGCCCGCATCGGGCCTTCAACCCACCTGGTCCACTCTCCGAGTCTACAGTGTGACTGGTCTGCCCGCATCGGGCCTTCAGTTGGCCTGGTCCACTCTCCAAGCCTCGGCACGTCTGGTCCGCCCTCGTGGGGCCTACAGCCTATCCGGACCGCTCGCTGGGCCTTCGGAGCAACCGGTCCACCCTGGGTATCTTGGCCTACAGCACAAAGCAGGACCCGCCTCAACCCATATCCAGTCCAAACAACCATGTGCACAAAACTTACATTCATATAACAGTCATAGTCAACAAACCGAACAAGCAGATCACATAGCATATCATTACCCTAACCGGGTTACCGACCTAACCGGTCACTAGCATAGCATCACTCTGTATAACGGGAAAACTGACCTTAACAAGGCCTCCTAGCATGAACCATCCTAGCTACCAGGATGCAGACACATCAAACAATAACATAATAACCATAACCGAATCTCAATACAATAAGGGCCGGCCTTGGTGCCTTAGACCCTGTTGATATAGTGAGGATAACTCACCTCGAAACTGCCGGCTGAAAAGATAAGATCCTTCTGCTCCGAACTCTGGCACGAACTCCTTCACTAAACATCAAAACATACAACTCCATAAATACTCTTAATTACCAAAATACCTCTGGAAGACAACTGGTCAACCTTTGACGAGTCAAAGTCAACCCCTGACTGACCCTACTCGCCGAGTCATCCCAATGACTCGCCGAGTCCTCATGCTCAGAACTTCCCTCAATTAGCGACCCAACTCGCCGAGTCACCCCAAGACTCGTCGAGTCCAACAACTCTGAGTCCACTCGCACCCAACTCATCGAGTCATCCCTTGACTCGCCGATTCATTGAATCAACCAAAAATATTGGGACTTCCTCGACAAGACTCGCCGAGTCCAAATGGACTCGTCGAGTCCAAGGCCATCTTCAACCTACTCGCCGAGTTGTTCTTCCAACTCGTCGAGTCCCAGGCCATCTTCAAGCAACTCGTCGAGTCCACCCATGTGACTCGTCGAGTACCACCTATCTGAATCCATACAGAAGCATCTCAGGCCATGCAATTGATCCAAAACATAGATCCAACCTCCTACAATCCATCCATCACGTAAAGTGGCAAACTTTACGTGAATCTAACGAGATTTAAGCCATATTCACCTTAAAACCAATGTTTGGGACATGGTGGCTCCACTAAGCACTCAAACACAGGAACTTTAATGCACTCTAGGTCCTTAATATTCCAGATCTGAGGTAGCAACCTCAGATCTAACCTCCAAACTCCAAAACATTGCAAGATATACTCCCCACTAACCCCAAAATGATGAAACTAGGAATGCACAGCCTAAGGACGAAGATATTACCTCCAAAGGATGCCTCAACAGCAGCCAAACTCGAATCCAAGCAAAGCCCTTTGATCCAAGCCACTTCTCCTTCAAGATCTCTTCAAGCAACACCTCTCCAAGCTCTAATTTGCTCCACAAATGATCTCTCCACGAATACAGGGTTTCTGGAACTCAAGGGGGGAATAAGGGAGGCTGTGGAGGAGTATAATGCTCTTTATATAGGGCTCAACCCCGGAAATTAGGGTTTTCTCCATACAACACCTACTCGCCGAGTCCATCCTATAGACTCGCCGAGTAGGCCACTAGACACGCGACCATGACCACGACCTGACTCGCCGAGTCAGCCATGGACTCGCCGAGTCATCCTCTAAAACTTATACTTTTAGTCCTTCAACTCTACTCTTGCGATTCCGGGATGTTACAGTCAGCGATCCCCCGACAATTTTATTGGAGTGGTATGTGATGCCGGGTTGTAACTCCCCTTCTCTATACATGGGAAACAAACTGGCTGTTTTTATGAAACATCGATTATATAATGAAAAAATGGAAGCAAAGTTTTGGGATCTGCTTTTTTATACAAATGACTTGGGATTTTTAGATGAAGAGGTATAAAGACATTTCTTTATATTTATAATTTAAATAGTTTATAAGTTCCTTATGTTTAAATTAAATTTAAATGCAACATGTAGACATATGGGGAAGACTTTTGAATGAGCGTAGACCGAACAATGCTCGATGGACAGTCATGCCATCGTTATTTTTCGGTGCATTTGAGATGTTCCAGTGGGCAGGAAGTGCAACGGGAAATCCGATTGACCCGTTGGATGACACAAAATCTTGGCTAGAAGTTGACCGTGTGAGTAAAGAAATAATATATATGAGTCAATTAAATTGTCATATTACACTAATTAAACGCTGTAATTAATTGCAACAGTTGTGTGTTAAAACATGTTTACTTTCTGATTTGCATCAACCCACATCATTGGGTACTTAACGAGTTATGGATGGACACGTTGTCATTGAATTTGTATGACAACTTGCGATCTTTTGGCGCTGTGAACCTTATTGATTTTGTGCGGCTTGAAAAGCTTATGGACCACATTCTACGTAGCATTGGCTAATGGAACCACATGGATTTGCCTCCTCGGAAAGCATCCATTAATGTTACAGATGTTACAGACGTGCCCCAACAAGAAGGGATATTTGGAGAGTGCGGTGTATTTATATTGATGTACATGGAGCAGCTTGCAGCTTGTTTCAGGTCGATCGATTGGTATATCGACAACACCTGTTATTGCCGCTACGCAGTTTCTCACTAGGATGAGCATGATATATTATGGATCTTCTAGAAAGCCGATTTTAAATTAGCCTGATTTGTAGATTTGTAGTGACATTTAATGTGTACTATTTCATCACGATTGGTAACGTTCTATTTTCGTTTATGTTAACAAAATGTCACCTAATTATTAAACATAAACATTATTACATAAACAAACTAGCAAGAGAATAGTACATATTAGATAGATTAATCATAACAAACAAGCATATATAAAACTTATTACATAGATAAACTCATAAATAATACATAAACTTACTAGTTGATTAATAAAAAATGATTAAATTCAAACATTTGGAAAATCAGTTGGAAATTTTGCTTTTTCTTGAATTAGCCAATCATATTTTTTTGTATGTTTTTGTGAATCTTTTTCATTTTAACCTCTTCTTTGTTGGCGTACTCTATTGCATCTCATTCCCAAACTCTTGCAATTTTTATGCCGTATTCTTTGTCTTGTTCCGACCTCATTTTAGACCAAATATCGGACTGTAAGTTATCCAACCGTTTCCTATCTTCTTCAATGCCTTTAATCTCGTTCTTGATCTCTTCTTCTTTTATTAAAAGTTGCTATCGCTTCTCTTGTGGCAACCACCATTTTTCTTGAGAGATAGACATGATTGTATGTCTATGGCGATTATAGAATAAGGAGTAGTATACGATTTGTAAATCTCAAATGCATACATATAAGTCTCTATATATAATTGACAATTTAAATACTTTTTATAGGCTTTGAGTACTATCTTATAGGATTTGACTACACTCTTATAGGATTTGACTAATGTCTACTATCCATTGACTACTACTTCATGAGTAGTCTTATCGTATAGTGAATATTCGACACATGATTGTTATTTGACTACTTTTTTTTATTGGTTTTGACTACTGTCTACTAGTGTTTGACTACTAATTTATTCGATTGACTACTTTTTTTTATAGGTTTTGACTACTATCTTTTAGCCGTTGGCTATTATCTAATGTCATATTTATTGTAAATTTGTTTTCAATTTAGAAATCAAAGAAACAATAAAAAAAAATTGAAGTGTAAAAATGACAGAAAGATCAGAGGAGATGAAAAAGATCCTGACAAAATTTAATTAGCCATCTACATCCACCAATAAGCCTCCTTTGGAGTCAATTTCCCATAACGTTTCAACCAATCGCCCTCCTCACGTCGATCTTCCTATATTAGGTGAGAAGATGGATGAGGAAGTGAAGAGAGTGTTGTTACAAAAAGAAGCTGATATGGATAATAAGGCTTATAATGATTATGCTTTCCAACGAAACCTTTTAGACAAGTATTGGGATGACATTGACCGTAAAAGGAATTGGAATTGGATTATAAGTACTAGGCAAGAAATCCAATATACTGAGAGTTCGATCCGCTCTAGTGAAGAAATTGTTCAAAAGATAAAGAATGAATTAGGACTTCATGAGTACAATTTGGAGAAAACAAAAAAGGAAGTCATTGCTATGAAAAAAGAGTATCCGTATGAGTTTCCGATGTGGGAAGAAGATGAGTAGTATTTTAATAATGTTCTTGTTTGTTGAAGTAATTTTAAGGTAATATATCTCTATGTCTGTCTTTTATTTGTAATTTTAAGGTAATATATCTCTATCTTTGTTTTTTATTAGTGGTTGGTTAGAAAAAAAATCTGTAAGAGTTTTTGGTTTACCTATGTTTAGTAATCTAATTATGTTAATGTCAAGTAATTATATTTTAATGAGTATTGTATTGTAATTTATTTCGAACAGTAAACTAGATATCTATGATGCGTTTTTGTGTAAGATTTCACAGAATAGCATGTACTATATGCGACCTATAAGATTCTATAATTGTCTATATAACAATTATGCAATATGACATTAGTTTGTATCATAAAAGATGGATCCTATTGTACCACTAACATAGAACACCCAAGAAGAAGCATTTTGATACATGCTTGGATTACCATCATAGAAGAAGCTTATCCGCATGGTCCCCCATAATGTTGTATTGGTTCTTTTTGGATGCGCGTCTTTCACTTGTTTCATTATGAAATGGGTTGAGGTATTACCGCACAAAAAAGATGTAAAATTAAAAATGTTACAAGTGAAACGACATGTGAAGCACTTTCATAGATTTCATAGTGAGATCGAAAATGCACGTCCGGACGAACAAACAATTTTATTGGCGGCTATGAAGCTATTTCGTTTGGAATCTAACGGTAGAGAGTTTGTCCATGTTAAGTCTTGGAATGTTATGAAGAATATACCTTATTTTTAATTATTTTCCAATCACGAATGAAGTTTGTTTTGTAGCTTAAAATGTATGGTAGGGTGCTTATCTATGTTAGAAATTCCTTTCCTTAAGTCTAATTTCTATATGAAGAAATATATATTTGATATTTCAGAATTCATGTTTTTTATCGGTTACTCAACACAATGTTTCTTTTTGCTATTTTTGACTTTTTTATTAGTAAACAACATGTGTTGTAGGGTAGAAAAACAGAAAAAAATAGATTACATGTAGAAAACAATACAAAAAAGATAACACAGCACATTCCCATACATGGAAACATAAACCATTACAAATTATAACATACATTACTACATTTTACATAGTTTTACTAATAAGTGATACATAAAGTTAGTTAATGGACATTTAGCTTAGTAACATTATCTTCAAGTGCAGTATTTTGCTTTGAAGCTTCTTCATCGATCGAGCTAAGTTAATGATTATCAATGACTTATTGTCTTTTGGTTCATCCACCCAACAAATAAACCTAGACTATGATGGTTGATAAATAAATATAAAAAACATTATGTGTATTGTGTAAATACTCAATAATAAATAACAATATAAATAATTAGATGACAACCCAAATACCTCTTTAGGACAAGCGTGTCACACCCCCAAATCGATAATGGTGGAAACGTTCGGGGGTGGAGGACGTCATGTATAGTATCATAATAATGCACAATAGTAAAACAAGCAACAACATCATCCATTGCATTAATAGTATAGTTTATACATGTGTTCTGAGTATAGTTTATAAGACACCAAAATATATCAAAATAAAAGACAAGTCTTGAACAAGCACTGTCTTGTCTTAACTTGGTCCTGTGTACCTATCTACTGATGACCTGAGAATACAAGTTATTTTGAAAGAGTAGATCAACATTTATGCTGGTGAGTTCATAAGTATATATTAGTGTCAAAAGTTTGTATCTGTTTCATGAAGAATGTTTGTAAGTGTTTGGATGTAAATGTTTGTATAATTCCTAGAAAATCCTATATTTTCTACTAAAAGTAGTTTTCTAGCAAGACTCAACTGTTTGATATTTTTGTTCTCTTGGAAAAATGTATGTTTTCCAAGTTTAAGACTATCATTACTAGAAAATAGTTTGCATTGCTCAAGTGAGAATTGTTGGATTAATGTCTAAGTCCATAACTATAATTGGTAAGACTTGACCCGACCCGGCATGGTCCATTTGGGTTGCATACCATCATGCACTTGGATAGACTATAATGAGAGAAATAAGAAACTTATGGTTATTAATATATTATAAGTTCTAGTATATTAATAATAAGAATAACGAGATTATTTAATTAGTATTGATCAAGAATTAATCTAGGATTAATTAAGTGATCAAAATAAGACTAATTAAATATATGGGTTGATTGTGTAAATCATCCATACTTGTATAGTGGGCTAATGCTCCATGGATTATCTAGTTGGGCCAAAACCCATATGATGCTCCATGGATGCTCCATGGTATATTTGAACCCATGGATCCAAGGAAATGGAAAGTCATGACAATTAGAGTTTACCCTAATTGTATAACTATATAAGCATCTTATTCTTGAGGAAAATCGGCCACTAGAGAGACTAATATTATTCTTGAAGAGGGCTAGCCGATTTCATGAAGTGTAGAATTCTCTCTAAGTTATTCTAAGTGTTTTGATGATTGTGAACCATTTGAGGTGTCACACTTGGGGCACTAGGCACTCAAGCTTCATGAAGACAAGCACCATCAAAGAGGTATGTATTCTATCTTGTTATATTGATAGTTTTGTATGCTAGATTAGGATAATACCTTGGATGTTCATATTTGCATGTATAATAGAGAAAACATAGATCCAAGGTATTTAGGGTTGCATGTACACTTAGGAGTGTTAGAATGCTCATAACCCAACAGTGGTATCAGAGCCTAGGCTTGTTTTCTTGTTATACCTGCAATAGAAGCTGAAAAATCGAAATTGGTGCTGTCAGCCCAGCAGACTCGCCGAGTCCATCAAGGGACTCGACGAGTCCAAGGCAAAATGCATCCAACTCGCCGAGTTTTGTTCATGCACTCGACGAGTTGGACCCCAGACAACATATTTTCGAGGTTTTTGGCTAGAAATGGACTAGGAACATTACCCTAAGTTGTTTTTGAACTTATAAACTTGTTTTTTAATGTGGTAATGTTCATGCTAATCCATTTTCAAAGATAATTGTCAATAGATTCATGTTTTGTATTAGTTTAAGGTTAGACTAATTACATGAAAAAGTTTGATTTGAATTATCTTGTTCTTATGAGTTGCTTAGATTAATAGAAAAGTTAATTGAAATAGTTGCTTTCAATCCAAATTAATCTAAGAGTTGATTCTAAAATGTGTTTTTGTAACTTGTCCTCAAGTTATATGAAAAGTCACATTTAAGTTTCATAAAACTCATAAAAGTTGGCAAAGGTTACAAAAATGAAGAGTCTAGTTCTAATTAATTGGAGTTATGACTCCATAATTTGTCCTCAAGTTATGGAGGACCAAGAGTCTCTTCATTAAATAAAAAAAAAAAAAAAATGTAACCTTAATTAATTCCATAAGTTATAAAAATAAAGAAAAGTTAATTCTTTTATTAGTTTAAAGTCTTCCATAAGTTATGGAACTTGAAGAGTTTTTGGATTAAAACTACTTTAAACACATAAGTTATGGAATTAATTAGTTTTGAATAGTTTCAAAACTTGCCCTCAAGTTTTGGAATTTGTAAAGTTTTCTCTTATGAATACTTTAATTCCAAGTTAGCCCTTAGAATTTTAAAAGTTAAAATTCAACCCTTATACTTTATAATATTATAAGTTAATAATAATATATATGTATAAGAGTAAAGTCGGTCTTACCGCTAGTACGCCTCATTCACGAAGCCGGTCTATAAGGTGGGTATAAGGTTGTTGCCTATAAAATGGCAACTTAATGGGTGTCCACTCTCACCCACCGCTTGCTTGACTGGTGGAGGGTCGTTAGCCGAACGGGTTTGATAGGACTATAATTCTCCCTTCATTAAAAGTATTAATGATAAATACTAAGTAACTAAACTCTTAATAATTCCCAATCTTAGTTACTTAGGAAAATGTGAATAAGGTGCTAATCCATGAAATTACACTTTACACTTTGTCTAAGTCGTTAGTGGAGCGTGTGTGGTTAACCGGCACACTAACTTGGACTTAACAAGGTAGGTAAAGGGTGACTTAATATTTATCATAGTATCGATGGAGTGTGTGTGGTTAACCGGCACATCGATTGAGGGGTAATTTATTAAGGGTACCAAGTAATTTGCATGGTTACTTCACACCTTGTTTTGTCATCCTCGGCATCCCAGTCACAAAACCTGAAGGGCACACTCGAGATTGAAACATGCCATTGAACAGTTCAATGAATCTCAAAAGATCTAGGAGTTTCAAAAACCAATTAAAACCCAATAATACATTTCGTTTATGTTGGTGGAAATTGGTGAATCGTCATTCACCTACCTTCAAATTGTTTTATAGCTTGGATTACGGCATACCTCTTCTAAGTTATAAATAGTCTGTTGGGTCCTAGCCTTAATATTTCATATTGGGTGTCATATTAAGGACTTTAAGATCAACTATCTTGAATATCTCCCAAAACATGTCTGGTTTAGACATTTATGATCTTCCCAAATCTCTTGAAACAAGCTTTCCTAAAAGAAGATGATGTCCCATGGAAACTCATACTTCTTTCACCTCCTCCAATTATTCTCCCTACCCCACAAGTTCTTAAAAAGTTTAAGGTCACTCGAGCCCTATTGGCAAGTGAAGGTCTAGGTGTGGTCACATCTTGGAGATGTAGTCACATATTGACAAGCCGGGAGAGTTGGGTGTCAAAGTCTTGAGAAAGTTGGTGGTTCAACTACTCTCTAAGTCACATAGTGAGTTCTTTTGGAACACCTATGAAACAGACTATGACAATACCCTTAATGATCTTATCTATTTGTTAAGATCAACTTCCTGAAACTTTATGGACATTGACAATGGTGACACTGGAAATACGGAAAAAACATTCTCTTCCCAAGGAAAGGGATTGACCATAGTCAACTAGGTTGACCAAATGGTAAAGAGAAAAGGTTAAGTCTGTAATAGTCCCGTGTACCATTATCAAAGGGTCCATATGTTTATATTGCCAAAGGAAGGGTCATTAGTTGCGAAGTTGCTAAATTTACCTAAGGATGTTAAAGTCAATAAGTTTGACTCTACTTCAG